GCAGCTTCAGCATGGTTTTTGGCATGAGAAAAGGTGAATTGGCCCTCACCTGTATTCCGGCGCAAGGGAAAGAACCCTGCACAAAGAATCGATATCTGATGAGCATTTCCATCCACGAAATAAAGTACCCACCGTGGAGTCAGGGCAGGGGTTTGCAGACATTGGCCATTTGAAGGTATAAAGCCATGCGAGGACGCATGTCAGCAAGTCCTGACCCTAATATGAGGATTCAAAGACAAATCAAACTGCCAAAAGTCTAGTATTTGCCAAACTGCTAGCCTGTCGGGAAAATCATTCGCTTTGCCCATGGGGTGAGGCTCTTCAGGGCGCACGAAATCAGGGACAGTGGACTGGTGTTCAGCACGGTATTTCTGGAGATCGAGCCAAAATTTGTAAAACCATTTCTGGGTCAGTCGAGGAAAGGCTTTCACAAACAAAGAGCGTCAGCCGCCCGGTCTGCAACAAAATTCCAAAGTCCATGATAACTGTCGAGGTCAGCAAGAGCTGACAAATCGGACGTCATGCCCCTGAATCTTCACAAGTCGATTGACAGCCCTGTTATTTCCGCAGTGGATGCACTGACACAAATCAAGGTATGGCAACTTATATGACTTATAGACTTATAGACTTATAGATGTCATCAGTATCATCAGTGAGTGCATTGCGAAAAGAGGCAATTGCACTGGCAGAGTCGGCAGGAATCACAGCCTTGCAAAACAGATCATTTGCATGAACAATGGCACCGGGTCCAGTACTAGCGATGGCCTCCAACCTACTAGCAATGGCCTCCAACCTACTTGGGGATGGCCTCCAACCTACTAGCGATGGCCTCCAACCTACTACTAGCGATGACCTCCAACCTACTACAAGCAATGGCCTCCAACCTACTACTAGTGATGGCCTCCAACCTACTACTAGCAATGACCTCCAACCTACTACTAGCAATGACCTCCAACCTACTACTAGCGATGGCCTCCAACCTACTAGCGATGGCCTCCGACCTACTAGCAATGGCCTCCAACCTACTAGCAATGGCCTCCGACCTACTAGCGATGGCCTCCAACCTACTACTAGCGATGGCCTCCGACCTACTACTAGCGATGGCCTCCAACCTACTACTAGCGATGGCCTCCAACCTACTACTAGCAATGGCCTCCGACCTACTAGCAATGGCCTCCAACATACTAGCAATGGCCTCCGACCTACTAGCAATGGCCTCCAACCTAGTAGCGGTGGCCTCCAACACGTGAGCACATGTTAATGGAAGACAGGCAAGGGGGCCTTCTTTAGGGGGCCCTTACCACCCTAAAAAAGGTGGTCTTGTTGAATACCGGTGCTTGTCAGGCCGACTTTAGGCAACTGTCAGCCGACCAAGATATTGGAGTCAGACTTCGGGTCATACAGGCAATCCTCTCAAAGGTTTTTAATGCTCTAAACGAAGGTGGGCAGTATGATCGCTCGAGCAGTTTTTTCCTGTTGTTTCATGGTCTGAAATGCACATGTGGAAAGACATGGAAAGACAGCTGCAGGACTGCATGGCGGTCCTCACGCCCAACACTGCTTTGGAACATGTTCTGAAGAGCTTGTTTGATGAAGAGAAAAAGGATGAGTTAGCCCCTTGGAACTTGGAACTGCAAAGATGCTTGCCTTTTTTTCGCAGTATCTTGAGGTGTCAATAACTCGGACCACAGACAAGGGAACTCATTTTCCCAGAGCTCCTCAGGTCTACCACAAGGACCGCGGTGCGTAGAACGCCATGAGTTTTTTGGGGGGGGGATTTGCCTTGCACGTCTCATCTTTGTCAGAAGCTGCCTGAGGCTACAGTCACATGTTGAAGTCGTGGCATTTTCTAGTGTTTGCCGTGCTTAGCTTCCAGGAAGTCCTGGAGTTGTTGTGTGTAGTTTCTCCCCATGTTTGGATGTTGCTGTTGCTGATGGCACTCCCTGCTTTGCTGCTGATGTCCTGATTTTGTTCACATATTTTGTTCACGTACCTCCTTCACTCTTGAACACATTCCATGCTGCTATTCAGGAGAACAATGATTTTCAAATATTTCTGACTTGATTTGCAACCAAGCTCTCAGTTTTGAGGTTCTTCATGTTTCTTCCAATGACTCAAAAATAAACATTGCCAAAGGACAGCGCTTCCGTTTGGAATCAGGAATTTGCTCGGACTATGTTGGACCCCCCTCCTGGTGCAGCGTTTTCATCGGGCTTGAGAGGTTTTGGACAAAGACCCTGAGAAACAAGAGGGTCAAACATAAGATCAAAAATGGGGAGGCAAGAATGGACATGTGACAATTTCCATCCTTTGTTGTGGCTTGGTTGGAACCCCTTCATGATAGCCCACCAAGTCCAGTTTCTGGCACCCAGCGCGTAGAATACAACTGAGTTTCACACGACAGCCCCGTGAAAGCTGCGCATGTTGTGACATTATGAAATGTGACATCGGAGGCAATGCTGTGGAACCAATGATGATGCCCCATGACAACGTTGTTGTGAAAACGGGTACCTCAGTGTGAAATGTATCAAAATGTGAATTCTGCATTAACACCGCTGCAGAAATTATAAAACTACACGTAAAACACCAATGAGCCACTTATAGCAAGGTACCTACTGTAAAGACAAAAGACCTTAGTTTCTCATCCATCACATTCACAGGCTAGAGAAGCGAGTAGGTAGTCCACATTTTGCGTTGTGTGTTGGCAATAAGTGGAACCTGAATTAGCAGGAAGTTGCTTTTCAATCATGTTTTCATTTGGCCAGCCAAGTCCTTGAGGTCCAAGAAGCTCACTTTTTTGTGCTCGCAATGGTGGCCTCCAGCGCGGAGGTCCGGGACAGCAGTGTTCTTTGGGACCTCATACAGTCTTTGCCGACGCTGATTTCCTCAGCGCCCTCCAGCGCCAGCTTGGACTTTACCAAAAAGACTGCGATTGAGCTCTTGGGCAGCTTGACGCAACGTGACACGTGCTGACACCCACTGCAGCTCAGATGTGTTGATTTCACAGTTTTTCCCGTTTGCTGCGGATGCAGGTAATCTATGGCAATGGGTGAATTCCAGGAAAGACTTTTTAGGACTCGCATTGGTGATGATCTCGCAGCTGCTTGTTCCAGATCTGAGCAGCAGTCCAGCACATGAGCTAGATCGTGCCAGGCAAGTCCAGCAGGCCCGGATTTGATATCATTTGTGAGGAAAACCGTATACCAGATCAGATGCTTCTGAGCAGTTTCACAGCCCAATTTGCACATGATGGTGATGTCTTCACGACATTGCTAAACTTCTTTTTTGGCGTCCTTTCCTACTGAGGCAGCTTCCACAGCATTCAAACACATTTGTGTTGGGGGCAAGCTTCATTTGGAGGACTTGCTACCAGAGCTCTTGGATCTCTACGTTCTTTGGTACGAATTAGCATTTCTGAGAATGCAGGTTGCGGGGTTCTTCTTGTGCACATATTTAGGCTTAGTAACTGGCAATCAACTATTATATAGTAGTTGACTTGATGAAATACTATGAACTACGGATCTACTCTGGAAACTGACTTGGAGGCTCCTACACGCATTGTGCGCTTACAGTACCTGTATACACGGCCGAAAACGTATGTATGAGGGCTTGTGTGCCTACACTAGCCAAAATAGGAATGTGCACCGGCAAGCCAAACGGAGTGCACACATCTTGAACAGTGCTGCTGTGACTGGTGGGTTCGTGGCTCCATCCATCCCCGCACGAGACATGCTCCAGTTAGGCTACGATGCATAGAGTAGATTTTTTGCGGTCTATAGTCCTGCGGACAAAGCAAAACACGTGATTGCACTTCCAAGGGGGTGACTATGGCGTTGCCCATCCGGATGCACCTCTCGATCGTTGAGGGTGTCGGATCCGTCGCACCTGAGATTGCATTTGATATTTTACCGATGTCTGTGGCGGCTAGTGTGATACACGCCTCAACTTGTGACTCAAAACGCATTTGACAGCTATATAACGTATAATATAATGATTTCTCGCAGCCCCATGAACATTTTGAGCCAGGAGTCCTGAGTCGGTCTCGAGGGATACAGTTCCGAGCGTGTGTCTTCTTAGCTTGACTCGGCGATTCCCATCATTTGAGGTAGCAAGTCTCAACCAGGAGGACCAGCTTCGATCTGGACTGGAGCAGATGGTTGCACCCCTGGCCCAGGGCTTGGACTCTGCAAGGCAGAAGCCACATCTCCTTGGCGAGATCTTGGACAGGTGATGGTTTGGCCAAAAGTATTTCAAACTGTCGAAGGCTTTCTTGGATTCTCCATCATGGCTACTGCATTTTACGGTTGACTAAGTTTTGATAGCAACAATTTGCATCCCAACCTTTTGGGCTCTTACCATGCCCTGCCATCCTCGTCATCGTGTCTTGAGGCTCATCGTGATCATAAAGCAGCTCCACATGACCGAAAGTAATGCCAAAGCAACCTGCATTGGCGGCATCACTGCAAAGAAGCCGAAGCCGCCCTTTGTTTACCATCCCCTGCGCAATAAACTCTATAAAATCAGTATATAAGGTCGAGTCGAGCTGAGCTTTTAAAATTGCACCAGCATAGACCCAGATAGCTAGGCAGAATCCCACGACCTGTTGACATGCGATTGGCTGGAACAAGAATGTACGCAGCTTGCGCAGCCACCTTACGGCACCTCCACGGCGCGCACAATCAGCTGACACCAGCACCGGTGCACTTTGCCAACTGACAACACCGGCAGCGGCACCAGCACCCGACCAGCGCCGCCGCCCGTCTTAAACGCGCGCTCAGCCAGGACCACAACACCAGCACCAGCACCGACACCCTTTCGAAAGCGCGCGCAGCCAGCTCATTCTTATTTGCAGCAAGAACCCCATAGCTATCCCTATTTGGGGAATAACAACGTATGATTTTGCGCATATAAGTCTATTCGCACAAAAGTATGCGCGCAAACAGCAAAGCCCGTAAGTGTCATTGGCCCAAGGCCAAGCAGTATCCAGCGCCACTATTGACTTTGTAGCATGCTTGAAGCTACGATCTGCAGAACGATAAGGCCGTATGATCTTGCGCGTATAAGTTTATGCGCACAAAAGTATGCGCACAAACGGCAAAGCCCGTAGGCACTCCCGTAGGCTTCACTCGCCCAAGGCCAAGCAGCACCCACGACTATATATTGTGCGTTTGGCACGCTGGAACATGCTGACACAATGGTCGGTTGAGAGCCTGATGTTGTGCATAGAACATTATACGTACAAAAGTATGCGCGCAAACAGTACAGCCCTTGACACAGCTGTCGGCAGAAACAAAACCTGAAGAGTGTAAATACCCCACAGGGCCCCACAGCGCTAATAGACAAAGAACGCTCAAGCGACGACGCCGTATGATGTTGCGTGCATAAGTTCATGCGGCCCCTGAATGCTGGCACTTCATTGTCAGAAGCGGTGCTTGGTCGCCCTTCACTGCTGCAAGCGGCAGTTTGTTACCCTTCACTGTTAGAAGCGGCGGTTGTTATCACTTGACTGTCAGAAGCGGGCACCAAGCACCGGCACGCCAGCTCACGGCGCCCAGCACCAGCACCAGCCACGCGCACTGCCAGCTCACACCACCGGCGCTGGCGCCGTGTCTCCACCACGCGCACAGCCAGCTCACAGCACCCAGCACCAGCACCACTGCAAGCACCAGCGCCCGGCACCGGCCCTGTCTCGAAAGCGCTCGCAGCCGGCTCATTGTCGTTTGAAATAATCCCGAGTACCTATTTAAATTAGCCCAGCTGGAGACCCCAATAGCAAGATACAAACCGGGACAAAAAGAAAAATCTGGAAACAGCTGCTGTTTTCAACACATCGACCATCTCTTCCTTGGACACCATCATCACATAACCGGGACACCATCACAAATGACCAGGGCACCATCAAAACATGACCGAGACACCGTCACAACATGACTGGGACACAATCAAAACATGATCGGGACACCATCACAACATGACCGCGCCACCATCACATGATCGGGACACCATCAAAACACCGGGACGCCGTCACAACACGACCGGGACACCATCAAAACATGACCGGGACACCATCACAACATGAC